GTGTTTACACACGGAAGGAAAGCAAACTATTCTCGGTTCCATTTTTCTCGTACGTGTTTCTTATCATCCCTGACACAGGAAATCTCTGTTGAAACAGTGCAGTTCTAACTAGTTGTGGGGAGACACTTCCCCCACTCTGTCTCTTTTCAAATGCCCTTGCTGATTAGATACAGGCACAGTTGAGTGTCTGCTCAGGACCCATTTGAGGAAACTTGCTTGGTGAAAGTTTTACCATCTGCAATTTCTCCAGCTCGATTCCAGCCAAATGTCAGCTGAAATGTAGACGGGTCAGCTGAGTAACCGCTCAGCCCTTCAGCTTGAAATAACTGCAGCGAGTGAGAGAGCTCCAGAAACGAACACACTCACTAGCCAATGCAAACCCAACCTAACCCATTGGCCAATATGGCTTTCATTCGGGATGCCAGGAAGACCCAGGTGGAAACAGCGTCATGTAACATCTGCTGAGCATCCGAAGAAGTGGGTATTCACCCACGAAAGCTCATGCTCCTATACGTCTGTTGGTCTATAAGGTGCCACAGGATTCTTTGCAACTATATTTCTGAGCTTCAAGAACAACTCCAGCAGAATAAAGAGATTAAACTTCGTAACAGGGGACATCAAAACTATCGGAATGAAAAATTGTGAGTCAGATTCTTCCCTCCATTCTCGTGGTGCAAAGGAGTGGGGAAGCTAGCGTAACTGGCCATCTAGGGGTTCCCCCAGGAATCCTGGGAAAGTGCAGGGACTAGCATAGCTGGCTCCTGTGTCCCCCAGTGGAGAGGGTATGTTGGGGTGTGGCCTGAGCTCTGGCAAGCCTTGGAAGCCCATACAAACTTCCTGCAGCCATAGCCCCTGAGGCTGCTCTAAGATATATCGGGGTCAAGGCCAGCACAGACACTGTGGAGGAACAAAAAGCCAGAAGAGAACTACACCATAAACTAGCTGTTAAGCTAGTACCCAGCAAAAGCCAACCACTGCGCAGAGGGGAACAATTCAGCTGCATTTAACTGTTAGTGAGCAAACAGATATAGGCAGGGAGAACAAGGCGAGTATTAATGGGAAATGGGAGGAGAAGGTTCAGAAGCTCACCATACCCAGCTCAGATACCACAGTGATAAGCACCTTACAAGAACCTAGGTAGATAGTTATCACTGGTCCCTGGCTATGATCCAGCACCAGTCCCGGTATGCATAATACATACATGCATGATCCAGAATTGTCACACCATGTTCCGTTTTTCAGTCAGCAAGTTTTCCACATTAGAAAAAGACACCATGGTGTGAAATCCTGGCCCCATTGAAGTCAATGACAAAGCTCCCATTAATTTCAATGTGGGTAGGAATTGACCCCATAAATCCATGTGATTTTGGTCAGTGGATGCAGGTGCAGGATTGATGGTAAGGAGCAGTCTGCTAGCTTTATTTCCATGTGTGGCCGGGAACTGCTAGTTGCATGGTAGGAGTTGCACTTAGCAAACTGGCTCTAGCATTCAGCTGACAGTTCACATCTGGCTTTCCCATACAGTGCACTTCTGTAAATAGCAATTGCACTGTAGATAAGAACTATGAACCCTGGGATTTAGCCAGCTGTATATCTCAACATGCCTTTAACATGTGGACCCGGGGTGCCTGCTCTGGATTCAGTCTCCGGCGAGAGAAGTCATTTGATTCAAGATGCCTCGCTGAGAACTTGAACTCGTCTCCTTTGCCCCAGAACATTTCTTGTTCTGACCTGATTCTCTCCAGTTTCCATGTCTAGCTTGCACATGCTTTTCCTGCTGCGAAATCACTCACACAGCCAAGGTTCGTAGCACTGTTCCAGAAGCTAGATGGGCATTTACAACTAATTCCCTTTAGTGAGCTCTGCCCTTCAGAGGTTCCCTCAGAACACAGTCTGGCAGATGTACCAAGGCACTGCGTGTTCTTGGGTAGCCCTCCCTTTAAAGTGCCATTTCCATTCTCTGGCTTGTCCTGTGCTCTGAGCTTTCCCTAGTTGATTAGATTCTGAAATCCCTTTCTGTCCTCACTCCAATTTGATAACATGTAACTTGCTCAACCCTATGTGTAGAGGACACCTCTGTGATCAGGCGGGGAGAACAACACACACACACGCACACCACATTTCTGGCTCTAATGAGCAAGATGCTCTGTTCTAAAGAAAGCCTTTTTCTGGGAAAGCATGCAATTAAGTTATTCTTTCTATTGCATTTCCAGGATTGCCTTGACAACTGCAAGCATTTTCCATAACACTTCTCACAGCATTTTGCGTCCATTATAAGAGAGCATCTGTGGGAGGAAGGGGAGAACTCTCCCCCATTGCAGTACAATGGGTCTAGGACACACAATAGGTCCAGATCTAGGAGATGAGGTGGCAAATTAGGTTGTAGTCAGTTTAATCTGAAAGTTTTGCAATAGGATTGTATTCTGACAAGTAGAGCTCTGGGGTATATAGATACCTTTTCTCAGCTGACCCATTGTGAATCTTTTGTATCTTACTGATTAAGTCACACTGATCTCTATGTACAATTTCTCTGTGTGAGAAATGACAAGGCAGCCATGAGCCCATGTTTCCCAGCAGGCACTACAGGTAAATGTTCTAATGCTGCCTTTAAGAAAGAGAATTAAGGCTGCAGAGCTCCTGGGAGGTTGGCCACAGGAGTGGGCCACATGTGGGCTCAGGGCCATTGATAAGGTTCTGCAGATAATAAACCTGCACAGTGCAGGCTCTTCACGTTGACGTTGAATGGTATGCGTCTCCTGCCTCGTGCAGTCACAGAAAGCTTTTCAACAGCAGAGCCATGCTGACAGAATCATGCTGTTCACACAATGATGAGACTGTAGTCGCGCTGCCAGAGCTCTCTCGCAGCGCTGTATGTACTCCACCTCTCCAGGGGGGAGGGCGTTTTCACACCCCTGAGCGCAGCAAGTTGCAGCGCTGTACAGCGCCAGTGTAGCCAAGGCCTTAGTGTCCATATAGTGCTTTGGGTCACGACTGAGTCCTTCCCAGCTATTAAAACACCCTTACAAGAGAGACTTAGTAATGCACAGTATTAACCATTGGATAATCTTTTTAATGAAGTGTGGTATTCCCTCCTCACTGGGCAGAAGATAATGGATATTCCAGCACTGAATGCAACTCACATTGGAATCTAATCTCTACTGATGGAGCGCCCAGTGGTTGGGCAGTTGCTCACGTACTATAATCATCATCATACTCTCGGTGACAAAAGTGCACAGTATTGCTAAAGAGCCAAACTAGAACTGGAGTTTAAAAGGAGCCTCCCTTACCCCTTCCTAGAATTCCTGGAAGGAGCGATGTATGCAACAACAACAGTCCTCTGATACTCAGCAGTGTCCTCAGGCCTTAGCAACTACAGCCATTGTGGCATGTGTTCTAATTAAGTGATACGTACCAGTGTGTTCTGTATTTGAACGCAGCTCCGCAGAACAGATAGAAAGGAGGAGTGTTTGGTAATCTCAGGTGAGCAAACCCCAGAGCACTAGAGTATTGGGAGGGTCCTGGCTTTGTAGCACAGGCCCATGGCTTGTACTCCACCCCGCCACCCCCAGTCTGATGTGCTGGAGCTACAAAGGCCTGGTAGCGTGTCTTTTTATTGCCTGGTGAGCTTTTGTAATGTAACTTTGTTGTGGTCTTGTTCCTTCAGATATTAGCTTATGGGATGTGATCCACACCACCACAACCAAGAAGCCAAAAACCACCAAGGCCCCGCCCAAAAAGAATCCAGGTAAGTGCTAGTTCTTGGGGCGTCAAGAGCTAGTTCCAAAGGAGGAGAAGCTAGCAGTGCACAAACTGGAGAAGGGGTGGAAGCAAGCCACAACCTCTCCAAGCACTCACCTTCTGCCTCACCTATCCCCAGACCCTTTTATTTGCATCCTATTTTTATTTTGTTCACTCAGTAGTCCTGGAAAGTAGGGGGTCTGGTGTATCCACCTTTACCCCATGGACACACTGAGCTGGTCCTGGCTGGTAGCTCCAGCTACTTTGGAAGAATTTTACTTCGCATTTAAAAACAAACCCAGCAAATTGTGTATAGCCCTGACGACTGTGAAGAAAACATTCCAGACATAAAGCAATGAAGCGCTGTTTCAGGCGCCCCACTGAAGTCAATGGAGACGTCAGTGGAGTTGTACCTGGTTATGCAGCAGTGAATTTAGCTCCAAGATTCTAGACAGATAATCTGAAACATTGTCGCTGAGACTTTCTCCCACGTGTTTCAGTGGGGTGTTAACTCTGAAACCTAATGACACCAAGCACTATTTAAGAGCCAATCATTTTGCCAGGTGTTGTGGACAGAGTTTTGGCAATTTAAAATCTTGCTCTGTTTTGAAAGAGCAATCTTACTTTCCCACTAGTGAAAGAGTCAAAAAATTCAATTGGCTCGGTTACGTTTCTGCAGTAGTCATTTAATAAACAAGTTAACAGTTAACAGAGAACTGTTAAGTTCTCTTTTAAACTTAAATTCTCAGGATACACAGCAATGTGTTTTCCTTTATCCTTTTGTTTTTCCCCACTACTGACTATTTCAGTCAGTAAAGGTGCATCTCAGAAAATACTTCCTTGTCCTTTAAGATTCCCCCCTCCCCCTGCCTTATTTCCACACTCTGAACACATAGAAATGTCTATTTCGTTCTGCCCTTTTCTCTCCTACTTGATTTATATGATTTCCTGGCATTTGATCCACTATGCAAGACAATTTCTGCAAGAAGAACATGACATTTATCACAACACCAGCATGCGAGCACAAAACCAAATGAATTGCAAATATCTCCCATGATATTATATGTTTAAACTGAAAAAAGAAAAAAAAAAGTACAGTTACTTCATCTTTCCCATTGACACTGTCTGACAGGGTTGAGAATTTTCTTTCTTAAGAACCTTTGTCAGAACTAAGGGATTAGATCAAGGAGTGTTGAATGAAGTACCTTGGAACTCTTGGTCCAAGATAGTAACCAGTATGGTATTTTATAGCAAAGGATCCTGCAGACTTTGACTTATCCGATGCACTAGATGATCAGAATGATGGGAAAGGCGGTGGGAAACCAAATGTAAAACCTGGTGAAGGTACGTAAATTAACTTTCTTACTCTGCGCTAGATCCTGCAGCGTAAAGCTGTCTATCCTTTTTCTTACGACTCGGAGGAATGCAAAAAACAGTGGGAATGAACAGAATAGACCCCCTGGGACAGCGCCTCCTTTTCGGATGATTACAGTGGAGCTTGTGCTGGTTGACATCAGATGAAGGGCGCTTCCCATCCCTCCATCAAGTCGATACGTAGTTTTCATTGTTCAGTGCATCCTTTCATTTAAGCAATGAATTGTTGCAAATGACAAAGTCGGAGGAAGAGGCGAGATTTAAAGCTGCAAGAGCTGGAGATTGGCTTTTTCAGAGCATTAGCTCTTCCTCTAGCTTCTCATGTAAATTTATGGCATTTCCCTGTCTTTCCCTTAAACATGACAGGCCCAGTTCTTCCCTTGGATAAAGCATACAAACTCCCCCTCTCCCTCTTTAGAGTGGCACACACATACCTAAAGGCCAAATAGGACTCTGCAAATTCAGGGCTTTCTCCACTGAAATCAATGGATCAAGCCCATAAAGAGGGATGAGGAGGGAAAATCTGTTATTGCAGAATTAATTAAAGAGAGAGAATATATTTTGTATTAAAGGCCTTGCCTAGCGTCTCATTGGCTATTTACACATTTACGTATTTGTCCCCTTGTTTTATTTCTTATTGTCCCTGTGACTCATGAGCTACTGGCAGGTCTGCTATGTTGTCCCTACCTGATAGCTTATTGACTGAATGGTACGTGCCCTTTAACTCTTCGTCATTATCAAGACACACAAATCCAGAGCAGTCCTAATTCCCAGCCTAATATAGAATATGGGCTGGACTTAACTGGGCTAGGAGGCCTCTTTCCATTCCCAAAATATTACAGGTGGAGACTCATTTGTCTGCGGTTATTGTTCCTTGAGCACCGATCTAGAAAAGACTTGCACAACCCTTTGCATAGAATAAACTACTATACCACTTGTGTAATTAATAAACAGATATTACATTAGATTTTATTAGCTAGGTGACTTGCAAGTACTTTGATTTCAAGGTTTGTTTAAATATATTAGACTAATTGAGGAAAATCTAAAGAGTCAGTGTGTTAGTACCAAGTATCAAAAACTAGCCTCTCCCATGGTAATTTATACCCCATCTTAATCAGCATTGATACAACTTACATTTTGGCCTCCATTCAATTTGTTAGTTTTGTTTTTAATCTTATTGCAAATCCTAAATCCATAAATGCTGTTTTCTGTGATCAGTTAATGAATAGAGAATCCTGTTCCAGGCTCGAAAGGTAAAGATAACCCTTCAAGAGGTGGAAAACAGGGTAAGGAGTCTTGTACTGGCTCCCAGCCGTACTTCTTTCCTTTTATGAATCTCAGCTTTCTGGCACCCGCTTTACTAAGCACTGAAAACTTCTGTTACTCCTCTTCTATCTGTAAAATAAATTGGGAATGTAATGGTTTGAATATCTACACTATTTTTCCTATTAATTCAAGACTGTTTTATATTTCTCCATTTCAATTTTGCATATATTAAACTTATTTTCTCAGTGATTTTATCTCAGCTACTTGTGTTAGAAATGTGTTCATGCACAATCCTTCTGCTGGAGATACTCCAGTAACACTTTAAAAAAAAAACCCCAAATGCAGTAGCATCCCACGATGAGAGGCCAGATACCCTTTTCTGTCAAGATCTGCTCAGTGCAAGAGAGAAGTGGGGCTCTCAGGGAGCCGTTATGCTCTGCCCTGCACATCCACATTGGTTAGAGCAGCCTAGGGGTTGTTCTAATCTATGTCAATTGACAATCGTTCCTAAGGGACTGTACACCAACTGAAAACTAGAGGAGCACAGCAGCATTCCACCAGGGCTGGAACGGGGATAGTGCAACAACCTGCTGAAAACTCCCTCTTGCCTCCAGCTCTTATTCCTTCAATAAAATGCCTGGAGTCTGACTGAAGGTCTTTTTTATGCTGCCTTTGTACATGAAGTCTGCTGACTGTATGTTGTGAAATACAGATCTCGTGACCCTTAAAATAGGCCCCATATTTATTTTCATTAAACACTGTCTGTTGAGCTACTTTTAAGCAAGAGAGGTTTAATAAAAAATAAAGAACATCAGCTCAAACAAGCAAGGAAGTTAAGTCCTGTTTGAGGGAGAAAAAGGTTTCCTTAAACATTGCCAAGCCTGTGGGATGCAATTTGGATGCTCAGTATGTGCTTGTAGCTTACACACAATATGCTTAACTCTTTGAGGAAAGCACCTGTTTTCCAATTCCCATGTTGTACTTTTCAGGAGCTTTCAGGACTAGATTCACAAGGGGGATTTAGGTGTTGTAATACTGAACGTTGCAGTGCCTAACTTAGGGCTTGTCTACACTTACTGGGGGCTCGACGCACCGCAATCAATGCATCGGCGGTCGATTTAGCAGGTCTAGTGAAGTCCCGCAAAATCGACCGCAGATTGCTCTCCCGTCAACTCCTGTACTCCACCAGATCGAGAAGAGTAAGGGGAGTCGAGGGGAGAGCATCTCCCATCGACATTGCGTAGTGTGGCCCCCATGGTAAGTAGATCTAAGCTACGTCGATTTGAGTTACGCTATTCATGTAACTCAAATTGCGTAGCTTAGATTGAATTTCCCCTGTAGTGTAGACAAGGCCTTAGGAATCCAGATTCACAACCCCAAATTAAGTACTCAGACTCCCCACATAATGCACAGAGAGAGTTGGACACCTATCAGAAGAATTCACAGAAGCCAGTATACTAAACGGGGAGCTGCCTGAAGTAGCCAATAGGAAATGCCGAGGGAGACGATTGGGGCCTAAGCCCAACCCCTCCAGAGAGAGTTAAATACCTAATATTGGATTCACAGCCACGAACCCTCTCTTGGAGTCAGGCATCTGTCAGTCAGTCTCTTCTCACAGAAAAGGTTGGTGCCACCCTTATATTCCATAGTCCAGTGGTTAGAGCACTTCTCTTGAGTGTGGGAGATCTGGGTTCATGTCCCAACTCTGTCTGGTTTGGAACAGGGATTTGAACCTAGGTGTCCCATATCCCATGGAAGTATCCTGACCACTGGGCTATAGAATCATTCATTGTCCAGCTCTGTCCCAATGAATATTGATTTATTTATACAGAGTGGAACTTCAAGCAAAAAAGATTGAGACATCCCCACCCTGGTGGTCCAGGCACTCCCCTCAGAACTTTTGGATGAGGAAGCCTTTTCAGAGACAGCTCACTTACAATTGAATTTTGAGAGACTTTACGCACCTCTCTTTGTAAATAATGCGGACTTGGTACGACTTAAAATTGGTTCTGCATTGCTCCATGGAAGACTTTTTCAATAGGCAGCCAGGGGTTGCACAAGCCAGAACTGGTCCAGAGCCCATTTTGTACCAGCTGACACGAGTGCAATGAGAATCATTCTGAAGAGCCAAGGGCCTGACTTTTTCTTGGAGCTGAGCATTGGCCTTGCCCACAAACAGGAGGTGCTCAAGACTTCTGCAAGGGCCTGAATCTAAAGTCAGTGCCATTGACTTCAATGGGCTTTGGATCAGCCCAAAAATAAGGCCCTAGTGCTCAAGTTGGATAAAGCCAATGAAAGGCATCTGGGAGTAGATAGAGAAATTGCTGAACTAATTCTTTTGGCAAACCAGCCTCCCTCCCCTTGCATGCTCTTCGCGCCCCCCCGCTCCCCCATGTCTTGTGGTTTCATACTAACCAGTATTAATATTTTCAGTTACTAGTTAAATGAGAAAATCAGCCTCTGTATGAATACAATTATGTACCAGATCCGAGCAAGTACTGCATGAGCACCAATAGAAAGTATTAACAGACAATAGACCAGTGGGACTTTCTTAATCTCTGCCATTCCTGAACTTGGAGTACAGTGAAACGGTGAGATGTCCACACAGATGAGAGCTCCTCTTGAATTCAGAGTTGGGATACTTATGAAGTTCAGTTCAGAAGACAGACTGCACTTAATTATATTGTCTGCATAGAGGTGATGCAGCTCAAATGTGGCATTAAGTGAATAGCTGTGTAATAGACGGTAGATTTGTAAGCAAGAGACACTGTCCCTTTTGCGTATCCCAGCAGGTCTGTCATTCCCAAAGCACAATGTGGGCACTGTCAGGGAAGTAACATTTCAGCGAGATACCTAATTGCTGATGCTTATCAGCTTCTCATCCTCTCCTGCTCTCTACAAATCCAACACAGTGCCACCTGCAACCCTTCTGGATGGTTTAGCAGAGAGCTTTCTGGTTACCAGGGTTAGTAGATGTAGCTGAACAACTCGATAAAAGGCCTTGAACATGCAACATATTGCAATGTCTAAGTTACAGGAAGTCAGCACATTTTTTTTTTTTTTAGCATTTTCAGATGACGATCTGGCCGGTGTTCTGGACGATGGGAAGTACCATCCTGATAAGAAGAAAGGTAGGTCTTTACACACTACTGACCAAGTCCAGTATAGTTGGTTTATACCCCGGGTCAGTTAATACACAGTATGACCCTTCCATCTGGAGACTAGGAATGGTGATAGAACTGAGATAGAGGGTGTAGTTAGTGGACAATGTATGGTATTTCATCGTTATTTACATTGTGGTAGCGCTTACATGCGCCGATGAAGATCAGAGTCCCATTGTGCTAGGTGTGGTACTAGATCTTTTTAATATTGCTACATCTTGCTACAGCATTCATTTTCACTTGTTTGTGAGAGAAACAAAGTGAAGTCAATCTACGTCCAGAATAACTAGTCTCAAAGACATAAGCTGGATTCATTTAACTGTTGTTCTTTCATCGTTGTTATTATGTTAAGCAACACAGTGGCCTAGGTATTAATGTTGTGCTCAGGTACCATGATGTGTTCATGCCTGATAGAATTACCTGCACTGTGCACTATAGTCACCTATAACCACACATCTGCAGTGTCTGGTTATAGTCCCCAAATCACCTGTTTTCCATGATGTGGGTGCTACCGGTATGGATGAATCTGTCATTCAGCAGCTGGCAGCCAATCCAGGTGCAAGATTTTCACACTCACTTCCACCCCTTCCTCCTGGCAGGCTGGCAGCCAGCCTTCCCCAGTTCTCATGCCCCACTGAAAGCAGCTGTAATATAATCTGAGCAGCTAATCTAGTATGTGCAAAAGGCAGTGGAGAAACTGGAGTGTAAGATGAGACTGATAAGGAGTCACATGTATGTGTGAAGTTGTACTTAAATCACTGTAGTAGAGCCTTGCATCACTAACAGACAACATGAGCGAGTCCTGGCCCTTGAGCTAAGAGATGTTGGTGGAAACAGAGACTAGGATCAAGCACCCTGCTAAGGCCTTTCATGAAACGGAGATAGAAAAGCATTATTGTCAGCAAGGCTCTTAGAAAGTTGATGGGGAGGTAGTTTCAGATGCTGAAAACTTCTGCAGTGAGACTTTCCAGAAAGAGCATGCGACTCCTTTTTGGATCTCCTGCTCCCAATAGAACTAGCTTGAAGCTAGGAAATGTGCCAAAGGAGAAGTGTATTATGGCCATGGGGAAAGACCATGGCTAGCTCTGGCAAAGAGGCACGTTAGCTTCATCCCAGCAAAGCAAAGGAGAGAGGAACGCAGGGTGTCTGCAGCCTTCATGGCCTCCAAGCCCAGGGGAAGTTTTAGGAATGCAAGGAGGAGAAACCTATGCAGATGAATTTGTTCCTTTATTAGCACTGTGTCCTGTATGGATGCCATGGATTGCAGTACAGGAGGAAGAGCGGCTCTGCTGATAAAAGATGCCACCCTAAGCTTGTCCGCAGGTCACTTCAATCACCTCTCCTTTGTGGCATGATGCCAGAGTAGCCTTTTTAACATGAATCTCTGAATTACCCACTGAGACATTGGAGGAAGAGAATGGCAAGGAACAAACTTGTAGCCCACTGGTGGGAAGGGGAAGACCTTTGGACCACTGATTTCTTTAACTCCAAAAACAGTTACAATTTATGACTCAGCCCCCCTCCTTTGCCCCCAACTAATTAGTTTCCTTAATTAGCTTTAAGTTATTTGAGGAGTGATTTTTAATGGGATATCAACTAAACTTCTAAAAGTTGCATTTTACAAGATAGCATCTGCCTTCTCGGACGAACCCCGAGCAATGACCTACTGTCAGGATGTGCTCTTGCTCCTGTTGAAGTCAATGTTCCTTAATGTCAGCGGGTGCTGGGTGAGGCCTTGCTTCATCAGTTAGGAAGTACTGGTTTCGCCTATGGGTTGGAAAGTGCTCTGAGGAATGATCCAACTCCGAGTGTAGTTAAGGACAAGAGTCCCACAGCATTGGGAACTGGCTTGGGGAATTGGCTTTCATGACTAATACTTTGAATATACAGAAAATGGTAGAAAAGATAAAAGCTTTCCCTCGACTTTCAACCACTCACTACTGCTTACTGAGAGTTAAGATGAAGACATCAGGCCGCATGTTTGTGAAGATCCACAATATTAAATATTAAAATAGGGAAATTCAAAGGATGAATACCACCAGCCCAGTCAACAAACTGCGCTAAAGACAAACTGCATTGGAGTAATTAATACTATGCTGACCCGCTTCCATAAATTCAAGATTTATTTACAGTGATTTGTTAACTGTAGAATTTGGAGGGAACTTTTCCTCCTAACCCTGTTTTTCCAGGAAAAGCAGTTTTTAAATAGGTTTCAGGCTAAGTAAAGATTCCTTGGCATTATGGAGCTTAGCTGCACATTTTTCTATTGACAATGCAAGTATGCTGTGTGATTCTATGTAGTATGTCAGTTATCATCCCTTTATAGTCAATGCACAAAACTTTGCTTAGCACAGGAATAGGGTATAGAGAGCTCATCTGCCATACTGAAAGGACTACCCACTGAAGGCAGCTCCTCTGATAATATGTATGATGTCTTAAGTCTTCACAACAAAAGCGAAGAGAAAGGACAGGAAGAGTCATCAAATCCCTGGAACTGATCCCACCTTATGGTGAAAGAATGAATAGGTCTGGCAAGCCAGGTTCTGATTCTGAGCTACGGTCTGTAGCGTGGGTCCCGTTGTACCGAAGTGCATCCTGAATAAAGGTCACTGCGTCACAGTTTGTAGAAGATGCAATAAAATAATAAGGAACATCACAGGTGGGATTCTCTGCTGGAATGGGATAATTCTCACCGGGATTCCTTCCTGGGCACTGAATCCTGTCGCTGCTTTGGCTCCAATTGGAATTGGAGAGTCGACTCATTTTGGTATAAACGCCTGCTAAACACAGCTTGTCAAATCTCTGAGCAGCTGTTACAGGCCCAATTCTGCAAGGTGCTGAACACTCTGAGTTCCCATTGGAGGCAATGGGGCTTTAGGGTACTCAGACCTTTGTAGGACTAGGTTCTGCTGCATGTGCCTATGTCAGCGTGGGGACCTAATTAATCCTTGGAAAAAGGGGGAAGGAAGCCACTTAGCTCTTCATACCTCCAGCCAGATCTTCTCCTTTGACTAGAGATTTACGGCCCCAGTGTAGTGTCAGGCTTTGGCTCCAGTGAGCCAGTAGTTATTACACTCATGTGCATCATACACATACACTGCCCTCTCACCCCCTCTCCCCCATATTGCACACGTGGCATAACTTCATAGCACCTTAGTTCTCAGAACATAAGAAAATGGAGGCACCATGAAAGAGAAGTGCGAGGCTGATTAATGTACTGAACTGTTTTAAGTCAGCCTGTCACCAGAGGGATGGAGTAGACTAGAGGGTGGTCAGTTCCCACATGCCCCTTCCCCTGTGTATACATTTTCAAGCTGCGTGTGTTGCAAGCATCTCTCATTTTGCAGGTCCTCTTTCATCGCCCGCCCACAGCCTGGCATCAAAAAGCCTTTATTGGAGTCACCCTGGCATTGTCTCAGAGGAAGCCGGGATTTCTAGACTCGAGTGCAGATACGTGTAAATGAAGCCACAAGCAACTGTAAAGCCTGCCTTTGACTGCACCGCGCTAAATTTATAATCAATTCCCCTTATAGCCCAACGCAGTGTTACTGAGCCAGCAGCTGTTTAATTAAATATGAGGGTTACCTTAGTGTGCAGGTCTGCAGTCACACAACAGCATGTTTCATACTGCTGCTTTCCTGCAAGTGTCACCTCCCCACCACCACCACCGACACTGAGAAAATCACTAAAGTCACAGTAGGATCATGAAAGTGGCTGTCAGCTCAAGGATCTGAGTACCTGCCCTTCCACCAGAGCCAGTGCAGAGGGGCCGCGGTGAGAGCAGAGCGCCCTGCTGCCAGCTCTGCACCCATTGCCCTGGCACGCCAGGGGTTGGTGCTGCAGGGTGAGGACTAAGTACATGACAGGCTGGCCACTGGGCCTGACCTTGTGCCTGCACAGCTGCTGCCATCTAGTCTCAGCCTGGTTTCTCTTCCTCTCTCATTCTTGGTCTCCTCTCCACCTCCCCCTTCCCCGCCCACCTGTCTCATTTTGTCTTTCTGTCCCAGTTTCTATTGCCCACATGTCTCGGGGTGGAGGTTAGGCTCCGCGGGGGCAGGCACACAGAAGAGCAAACTGGTCTGGTCCTGGGTCTCTAAGGGCACGTCCACGCTACAAAATTAAGTCGCCCTAATGTACATCAGCATGCGGCCACCGCAGTAATTACATCGCTTGTGCGTGTCTACATTTCGCTCTGTGTGTCGGCAGTGCGAGTTCTCACCAGCAGCCCTTGCACCGACGGCACTGTCAGTGTGGGGTGTGTGGGATGGCTTCTGAAAGCCAGCCACAGTCGATGTAACCAAGGCAGTGTCATTGACCTAACGACATAGACACTGACTCTACACCGCTCGTGGAGGTGAAGTCGGGTCGGTGTAACGGGCGAGTTACATCCGTGGGAGCGAAGTTCTAGAGTAGACACTTACAGAGTTAGTATCAGAGGGGTAGCCATGTTAGTCTGAATCTGTAAAAAGCAACAGAGGGTCCTGTGGCATCTTTAAGACTAACAGAAGTACTGGGAGCATAAGCTTTCGTGGGGAAGAACCTCACTTCTTCAGATGCAAGATGACTTGCATCTGAAGCAGTGAGGTTCTTCCCCACGAAAGCTTATGCTCCCAATACTTCTGTTAGTCTTAAAGGTGCCACAGGCCTTCCTGGGCACTGAATCCTGTCGCTGCTTTGGCTCCAATTGGAATTGGAGAGTCGACTCATTTTGGTATAAACGCCTGCTAAACACAGCTTGTCAAATCTCTGAGCAGCTGTTACAGGCCCAATTCTGCAAGG